AAGGCCATAAATTGTGAGTCTTTCCGAGTCGCAACTGTGACATCAGAGCCCCTACTGGCATCCAAAAGCAACAACTGGGCTCTAATGTAGATTCTTTAGAAAGCACAGGGAGCAGCTGGGGGCAAGCGGGTGTCTGCCAGTCTCACTGCATCCACGGCAACCAAGTAAACACAGCAGCAAACTGTCAGGTTAAACTTAAGCACCGCCGGGTGATGTTTCACTGTCACCAGAAAGCTAACCTCGCACGCACGGCACATGCCAAACGTGTACTTCAGCTGGCATAAATCTACTTGATTGCCTCTCATCTATGTTATTTTGAAGTTATTTGATCTTATTTTGTGAATTTGTGTTCAAATGTGTTCTTGGTTATGTGTTAGTGGCAGTTCTTGCCTGAATGGTGCTCTGCCCGACCTCCACCCACGGCCTCTTAACATTAACATGGCACTTTACCAATTTTCTAAAAGATTTGGCACAATAAATAAAATGAGTTGCAAGTACAATTTATTATAACAAAACATTAATTAATTAAACACATAATATCCTACTTTTGTAGATTACAGTATGACTCCGTAAGAATTTCTTTTGTACAACAAGACGGAAATTTCAAGTTAAATTCATAAGTCAGGCAGAGTTAGGACGGGCTTACTTGTTCTTATAAAAGTTATAAAGTCTTTTTATCTTAAATTGGGATTTGAACAGATCAAGTAAAAGTGTAAATAACAGATTCCGAAACAGAAAAAATAAACATCGATGGAGCCGGATGTTCAGTATACTAAAAACAGAAGTTCTTTTTAAGACTGCTCTAAATTACCAGCCTGACTAACGAGTGGCACGAAGAAAGGAAAGAAAACAGTTTCAGCGTCTTGCATTTTAACATTTATTGCAAACAAATGTAGATGTATCAGTCTACATTACATCCATCCATCACACGTATTGTTCTCAGCACAGTAAATGCAACATTTGCATTCACGTTCCCCTTTCAAAGTAGTCCCTCTACTTTTCATCCCGACCTTTACTTTCTTCACAGGCACAGACAGCAGTTTTAAATCAGCGATGGCATCAATTCAAAACAGAGTTGAGTCATGTGCGACTTATTTTTAAACCTTCTGTAAGCACGTATCTCAGACCATCTCACCTTAACACTTTCCTCGTCTGCTACACAAAAACACCAACAGTGTCATTTTCCCATGTTTAATCCTGAAATCCACAGACATCGTGACATGGCATGTGAATAGTACAGAACTTCACCGTCACCATTTATGAACTTTACTTGATTCAAATGCTGTTTAACTCAGTGATGCCACCCAATTTCAGACAGATTGTCCTCTCTGTATGCCTCATTTTTGAAAGCAAAAGATGAGAAATGCTCCTGCGTTGATGCGTCTTTCGCACACGATGCCATGATCCTGAAGTTCTCCTTGGCAAAGTTTCAAAACATACAGAGCCTCGCAAATGTATTCATCTTATTTTATCCTTTCATCACATCACAGCCACATCCTTGAGAGGTTTATTAGGATTTTATGTGATAGATTAATGCAAAGTAGCACATAATTGTGAGGTCTGAGGAAAAATATAAACTATTTTCAAACAATTGGAGAGGGGGCGAAAAGGGGCTATTCAACCAAAACATCCTCCTTTGTTCTGATATAAAATTGTTGCTGTATTTAATTTTAGTTATGTTGGCCTTACATGCAAAATGTTGTGTGATGAAGAACCAACATCATCTTGAACACACAATCCTCAACATGACACGTGGTGGTGGCAGCATCATGCTGTGGGAGTGCTGTTCTTTCACAACAGGGAAGACGACGGTAGCTAAAGACAGGCCAGTTTGGGAAGAAAGCCTGTTGGAGGCTGCAAAAGACCTGAGATGGGGTTATAGGTTCACCGATAAAAATATTTATTTATATATAAAAAAAAATGTATTATTATTATTATTTTGCAGCATTTTATTCCCTTTTACAGTGATGGACATCTTATTGTTGATCTATCACATAAAATTCCAGCAAAATATTTTGACCAGAGGTATTAGTACTTTTGGAAGGTACGGTATAACATAACCTGCAGCTTATTCTTTATGTAAAGAATAAAAAATGGTGAATAAAAATGTCTCAATAGTGCTGTTGTCACCCACGGTTACAGCCATTTACATTTAGTGCTGTCATTTTTGGTGACCGTCCAAGTGCAATTATTTAGAAAATAGAATGAAATAAAATTTACATTTCAAATTTCACATGTTCCAGTAAAGTAAGAATAAAAATTAGAGTAATGCAATTTTTTTTCAGTCATCCAACACTGCAAACACTATGTCAAGTTTTCAGGTGATCTGTGTTCGTTTTCTTAAGGGTTGTTTACGTCTCGGCAGCGTGATTTAAACTGTTCCCAACAGCTTCAGGCTACAATGCGCCTCAAATTGAATCAAGCATTGCACTGTCAATTAGGCTCTTGAAAGCAAACCCTTCAGAAAAGTGGACAAAATGTGTTCAAAACCTGGACTAATCTCAGTAAAATAAACTGTTAGGGCACGAAATGGGGAAATGATATGTCTTTTTAAATGGAGGTAAGTAGACTGACCAGCAGCTCCAAATACCTTTTAGTTTGTGCTTAGTTTTGAAACATTCTGCAAATAGCAAATCTACAGTTGGTATTATTCTCAGAGGGATGCTGGTTCATGTTAGCACAAAGACCAATGAGGCCCTGCTGCATATTCAGTGGGAAACAGGACAGAAAATGTATTAAAAACAATCAAAATACTATTGTTTAAATATAAAAAAGACAGAATCAAGGGGGAAAAAAGAAGAAAAAAAAAACATAAATTCATTTTGGATAGTAATTCTAATTACAGTTTTGCACCAAACAGCTCCCTCGAAAGCGTCTTTAGAACCTGGTATTACGTTGTGTGTGCTAATTGTAAAGACACGCTTCACACATGTACACTCTGTGTGATCCTGTTTGCAGGGGAGTAACGCAACTCCTTGTTGTGCTCACAGAATGCTCGAATGCCACGCATAGCTCACGGCCACAAACACGGACACATTCAGACGCAAGCAGACCCGCTCCCATCTCATTACACAAAAGTGTAAACCGAACCAAGACAAATAGAGGAAGTTATCCTGTAAATGTCTCAGTTGGCTCCGACTCATTAGGCCCAACACTACTTATAGTGACCTGAGCTCAGTGCTAAATCTGAGTTGGAGCTCCGTTTTCATCTGAGCAACATGCATAGTGTTACTCCTCTCACTTCACTAGTAAAAACAAGTGCATTAAGGAAATAATAACAATAATAATAATAATAATAATAATAATAATCATAATAATAATAATAATAATAATAATAATAATAATAATAATAATAATAATAATAATAATAAAACATTTCATTTGCACATCATGCTGGTGGGCATTGAGACACATTTCACAGGACGCAATGAGGAGTTGATGTCAGCAGAAAAACTGACTGATATCAAAAAGCTACTGTGGAAGGGTTTAGTGATAACACACAAAGGAAAACCAGATTCTTTTGATATGACTGTGATTTACTTGATTTTACACATGTAATGACCCTACACACTGCAGCGGAAGGTCTGGAGTGATTCAACATTCAGTAAAGTTAAATGGTCCCTTTCCTCAGGTAAGTGTGAAAAGTATTTATATCCTTTTTTTCAAATTGCAAAACTACACTGTTGAAAGTAGTTTTCACCCAGCAGTAATCCACATGAGATCATCTTTTATTAAGACGACTCTAATAAGTCCACATCTATTTAGACTTTGCGGCCATTACTTTTTTTGGGGATTCAAAGTTCATTTTACACTTTGGCATACTGATACTGTATTAGCATGCGCTAATACGAACTTTTCCCCCTCTCTGCTGGTCCAGGTAGCTAGCATGACTCTCTCCATTTAGCAACATTTCCAGTTTTTCCTGGAGGGCCTAGAGACATTCCAGTGCAGGACAGGGTATGCAACTCCTTCAGAGTATTCTGGGCCCATCCTGTGATCTTTTTTATTTTTTTTCCCTACTTGGATGTGTCAGGAATGCCTCCACAGGAATCTGAACAAGAGCCTGATAGATATTATTGATAGGTCAGAATTATATTTATCTATATAAGTGTGCCAACAGAGAGAGATGATTCGCTTAAAGCTACTCAGCTCAATAAAATAACTTACCATGTCTGCATTATACCATTATACATAAAAAAGTAATAATTGTCGCACATATATACAATTATATCTGTGCTCAGTCAACATCAGCCTAAAGAAACAAACTCTAACAGCAACCTCTCTTAATCTTGAAAGCCCAGAGTTTTATTTTGAAGGATGATTAAGCTTATCCTTAATTTATTATCTTCATGAGATTAAACTGGTGCTTAGCTTTATAGTCATCATTCATTAGGTGAAGCTCAAATCTTATAAATGTGTTATGTCAAACCTACTCATGATCAAGTTTCCAGTCTTCACACTAGAAACATTTATTTAGCATCACAAGCCAAAAACGACTTATTCTCAGCTTTTAATCTACTTAGCCACTGAGGAAACTTTGACCACACAGATTTTAGAACAGAAGTGGCAGTCTTCGTTGGTGAGAAACCTCAAAATGTTCAAGTCTTGATACATCAACAATTGTATTTTTGCCAAACAAATGGAAAACACCACACTAAAATGCTTCCAAGCTTGTCAAAACCCCCTACAAATGAAGCAAAGATGCCGCACTTGGACAGCTGCTCTGGATATTTTCTACTTATTGGTCAAAGCTAGAAAATACAAACATATGGGTGGGATATAAGGTCTGGGATGCCACCTTACCCAACATTAGAGTTGTCAGCCATTGGCTTTCAAATAGTTAATTTTCCCCTATTTGCCTCAAACCACCACACCGCTATGATACACCGCTAATGGTTGCTGGTGCATTTTCCAAACATCCCAACGTTCACATTAAATGCACACTCCAGCAATCTAATTATTTTAGTTATTCTAAAAACAATTAGAATTTTGATAATAAATACCTAAACTTATATGTTTTTATTTAAGCCACATTCAAATGGACAATCTCTACTTCATTTAGAATATCCTTGACAACAAAAACACAAATGACTTTTTTTTTCTAGGTCACTGTAAATACATTAAGGCAACACAAGGTGATAACATGTGATTGCTCCAGGATTTCAGTAACATCAAACAGGACGATTCCCCAGAAAAACTGTTTTGAATTCCTGATTGACTCTGTTCCCCTTGTGACCGTCAATAACGGATCGAACAGGAAGAGAAAAATGTAACAATTTAACTTCCAGTTTGCTACAGTTTCTCTGGTGAAATCACAAACTTTTCCTTTTAGTTATGTTTTTAGCAAACTGTCAATAAAATAGTGATGAGAGCACAAGCTAGCAAACAAATGTGTCTCGACAATAAATTTGGTTTGTATTAAGTTATACCTTTATGATACCTCTATCAAAAGCCATGACCTAGATAGTTAATAATAGCGTAATAATAGTGTTTATTGTCAATCATCAGACTCAGTCAGGTGACACGAGACTACGATGTTCTAGAAACAAACATTCTGACTTTAATTGTGCTACTTTTTATTTTTTTTTATGTACATAAATTTTACTCACGTGAGAATATTGTGTTTTATCAAATAAACACAGTCTAACCTTAAATACATATTACCATTAACGTCTCAATAAAACAGATTGGCCGTAAATAACACTTTATTGTGACAGAACTGTCTTGTTTCCTTTTGAATAGACTGCAGGGCACACATGGCATTTAAATACAGACCAATCTACACAGCACCTGAATGGAAAGTATCTCTACGATTCATATCTATAAAGTGCTACAATGCATACAGAAAAAAAACAAAACAAAACACGAAAACAAAAACTAACAGCAGAACAGAGAGAGACGGGTGAAGGGCTCATGGTGGAAGTTGTCCAGAGAGCGGGTCACAGGATGAAAACTCCACTTACAGTGAATGAAGGCGGATTCCTCAGCAGAGCTATCTGGAAATGAAAGAAAAGAAAGAATTAATGAGTTCAGATGCCAAAATACATTTTTTTTCCTAAATTGCTCATTGTATTGATATTAATGTGCCTTCCAAAACTATTCACAGCTCTTGACCTGTGAATACTTCTTCACGTATTTTTGCATCAAAATCACAAGTTTTAATGGTTTTTTTCGGATTATTGTGACACAGCAATCTTGCAAGTAGTTCATACTTGTTAAGTGAACCATATTTTGATTATATAAATGAAATAAATATATAGAATGTTCTGTTGACATGAGTGTACTCCAGGTGTTACATTTATCACACAAATTAGCCCACCAATAACTAGCAACTAAATGTTATGGATAAACATTCAAATGATACAGGGCACTGAATAGTTAACATACTTATAGAAATTTATTTACTTTGTAGATAAAGACTTTTCTTGGTAATGGTAACTTCAAGACATCTATATAAATTAGTGAATTCATTGTTCAGGTGTAATTATGACCTATTCTTCCACATAAATTCTTTGAATCTTGAAGATTCTGGGCGACATTTCTTTCGTCTTTCAGTAGAATTTAAATTTCTTGCAAGTCAAGTGATTAACTGGGCCATTTAAGCATCTTTTAGGCTGTTGCGCAGAATTATTATGCAAGTATGGGATGTAGGCTGACACCCAAAACGCTTAGCTTTGACCTCACCAGAACATGTTCTCCCAGTGTTTCACTTGTCTGTTCAAATCTACTGTAACTTTAAACAATCTTCATCATATTCTGTCTTCAGCAGGGGAGTCTTCTTCAGTGAGTTGACAAAACTCAAGCGTAGCACTGAAATAACCTCCAGCTATGAAGCACAGAGCTAGAGGTGAATCTGATGTGACGCTTTGGTGTATCAGGATCAAACCACCAATTCAGAATCCACCATGAATTGTACTATCAGAGGTTGCTTGAGGAAAATGTGAGATCATCTCCGATATTAAATGCCCCACCAAAACACAAATCGAAGTTTGTGCTTCTAATGTAACAAAACGGGGAAGAAAAAAAAAAGTTGTTAGCCTTTTGGCTCACTACATTCAGGCAGTCATGGCTATGTTGAAACTAATCGATGAGTTTGCGCAGAAGGAATGAAGGTCAGCAGTGATTTCCAACTCCTTCTCCGCATTTAGTAATAGGCGGCGGTGGAGGTGGGGGGCTGGCACGGCGTAGGAGGGGGGGACTATAAAAAGTTGACCCTCTCGCAGTCTGACAGACTCGCTCCCAAGCCAGAGCTGCAGCAGCATCTGATCTCTCCGAGCAGCTGTCCTCTTCCTGCATCAGCACAACAAATACTTTGCATTGCCTGACCTTTTCCTCCTGCATCACTATTCCAGCCATGCCCCAATAACCCCTCCTGAATCCCCCTCTCAACCCAACTGCATGAGACACCAGCGCCAGCTCCACACATCTCATGTAGCCCTCACACCACTACTCAACCCCATACTAGGCCTCCGGCTGCCACGCTCTCGGCTGACATGTATCCCCCATGCTCATGCAGTTGTGTTCTTGCTCTGACACATTAGCTGCGAGAGAGACCTCCAGCAAGGTGTGAGTGTGCACATCTGAGAAAGAATTACAAATTTCAATGGTTCAGAGGATAATCTCGACGATGGCTCATTGCTTAGTTTTAAGGTCCAGTTGAAATAAAGCCAAACCGCTGTTATAGATCTAAAGGTACATGGCCACACAGTTAGATATCTCAATGGTCGACACGGTTATATTTCAGCTCATGATACCGTCTTGACGTCACAGTGGCGAGACTAGCAGCAATAATGATGAAACGCACAAAACAATAATCAGGTCCCAAAAAGGAATAAGTTGTTGTGGATTTTAGGAAGCTGAGAATGCGTCTACTCTTGATTAATGCCTTGAGGTGGAAAGGGCAGCTTTGTCCTGGATTTATTTGTCCAGAGAGCAGACAAATAAATCTGGTGAGGTTCAGAAACCTCGCCAGGATTTTTGAACCCCTCGTGCCTGGTAAAGGGAACTCAATAGAGACTTTTCCTTTTTGAAGGAGGCAGTGTGAACAACGAGGGTGATCTGTTGTGGGTACACAGCACTGGTGGGAAGATTTTAGGAGATAAACTCTGTATCCTGTGTCAGTTTGGACCAGGCTCACTCTGATTACTTCTCGTTATCCCCTTTCGTCAGGGAAAATGTTCTGAACACCTGAATTAACAGGATGAGTAACAGCTTCCTTCTGAGGGATCTGGCCACCAGCCCAGAACACACATAAATACAGACACGTGTACAACACAGATAAGGGGCATAACACGTGTGATATCGATAACCTATTTCTAATTTGTCTGCAGTCTTATTTTATTCATAGTAACTTCTTTATTTATTTTAGCAAAAAATAAAAAAATGTTATCATGTTGCATTATGTGACTAATTTTGTTGTTTTCTTTTATGTTGTCCTGTTCCTTTACTTTAGGGAAACTTAGATGCTGTTTTTGTGTCTTGTTTCCCATCTAACTTCATGTTTATATTCACCTTTAATAGGTATGAACACCTCAACCATCTGATTTGATTTTAGAACACAAGTTTTACTATTTTATCTTTTTCTGGCTTAAAAGATGAAATAGCAAAACTTAACCTAAACGTTAGGGTTTTTTTAGCTGTTGTTTTGAGCTCCGATGGACAGCTTTACTCTTACCTGCATCAAATCTTTCTTTGAGTAAAAAATCTTAAAAAAAAAAAAAAAAAAAACTCTCTAATCTAAAAACTTTCCTGGTGGTTCATATGAACAATTTCTCAAAAGTCATTGTAGTTTTTCCTCAGTATTTTACTTTCGAGGTGTGTATCAGTTTGGCATATATGCACCTTCTTGTTTATTGTCAGAAGACCTGTTTACTACCAAACGCACAGTGGAGTTGAGCAGCTTGGAGAAGAATTTTGAGGATGAAGTAGGGCAACTGAGCTGGACCCACAGACCTCAGTGTGCTGGTGCACTTCTACAAGCTGTTTTTGGACGTTAGCAAGTGTTCTCTCGAGGTCACAACCAAAGTCAATATAAAACATTTCCAGATTACTTTAATGCACTTCAACTTTAGTAAAGAGCTTTATGAACTAACTATTTGTGCAAAACTATGCACTTGGGAGCCCAGTGGTGGGGCTGACTTTGGTTTTAACAACATGACAGGACAAAAATTGCCATAAGTCCCTGATTCTTCCACAAGTACAGCTTGCAGACTTCGGAGCTGCATTATGAGAGATGTTGTGTAATTAGTGAGAGTGATGTACAGGTAGGCAATTAATTATAAAACATACAAAACTGTCTTATGGGACCAAAACAGTTGTATGGCGGCGGATGTGGTCCACGTCTGCCTTCTTGCACCTGGGAATTGTACCCAAGTATGAACGAGATTCTCTTCCTGGTATCTTGGTTGATTTTTTTCCATTATGGCATTTAAGGAAGCAGTATGTTGCAGCGTTACCTTAAACTGCATCCCCAGCTATGCCTCCAATTAACTCAGACGTTACATATCAACTTATCAGAAGCTTGTAAAGCCATGACATCATCTGATCTTAGCATAGTCATCTAAATGAATCTAAACTTATGACTGAACTAAAACCGCTTCCTAAAAATCTCATAATTTGCCATGTAGAAGAGAAAAATATTTTTGGTAATCCCAAAAGACATAAAATGTTAACTGTGGATATCTGATCATTAAAAACTAAGGCTCTCTCTTCCAGAATCTTACACTAGCGAGAGTGCCTGCGACATACAGAGAACATAGTTGTTGAAATTGAACATCCATTATGTGTAAACAAGTACATAAGAATAAGTTTAAGCTGCTTCCTATTGTTGCCTTATTTTGCTTTTCTAATAAAATGACTAACAAAATGCTTCACTTCAGGCTCTAGCAAACCTGCCTAAGGGATGAACAGAATAGTGATCTGTAATGCTATATAGGAAATTAAAAACCTTAATGGCTGATTAAGAATAACTTAATGTTAAGGCGTCACTAACTGGAATAGTTTCCAGCGACACCCTGAGAATAAACCGTGTAAACAAACTCGCCTCTCACTATTAAAATAGTCCGACGATGTGTAATGCAGAAAAAAAGAAAAGGCTCAAGGATGAAAATCCAATCTCTCAGGGGAGTCAAGTTACCTGTCATGGGGCTACTGCAAGTCTATTAAGACTGTCAGAGTGCTGCTAAAGTGCTACAGTAGGTTATATTGCTGCTTGGAGAAAACGTGGAAAACTCAAACCGCACAATAAGGAAAATGTCTTGCTAGGATTATCCATTTTCTCCTCTTAATATTGGCTCCACATTCTGATTTTAGGCTTGTGTTGAACTTGAAATTCCAGTGTATTTTGCGCCTTCTGTTTTTTTTTTAAATATATTTTGAATATGAGATCCTTTATTTGTAATATTTAGTTTTGCCTTGAGATATTAATGCTTTGCAGTTATTACAATTTTGTCCTGATGTGTTGTTAATTTTTATTGCCCTATAGATGGAGTCATATTTTTTATAAAGCCCTGTGGGAATAATAAAGTACTTTTGAACTGAATTTAGGTTAAATTATGAAAAAAATCTGTACATATGACAAACTGAAAACTTTGCACAACCAACTTTGCTAACAAGACAACACAGATTTTCAGTAACCTCTTTGGGTCTCTCATGCTTTCTTTACAATCATTCTCACTGTGCAAGACGGCAAGATGAGCTTAGGTAATACTCTTCCAATCATTCCTATTGCATTGCTATTCACATTTATACACTTATCTATTTTTCCACGTTTAATTTATAAAATGATCAAGAGAACTGTGTCAGGTCATAGTGATAAACCAGAGAGACAGGAAGTCACTGATTACTAAATAAAAGTTTTTTTCACAACCTGATAAGTATTTATTGTAATAAAACCGTTAGGAATCCCAATTTCTTAACGTGATTTTATTAATTTGTATGTAAATTATAGGGCGGATGTTGACCGAATGTTTAACTGTGAGAATATGTTGTTGGAATAAAGTATTCATTTTTATTTTAATCTGTTGCATGTTTGATCTTTGGACTGCGAACACCAGCAAGCTAAACAGGTTCAGTAAAGGCAGTTTTATGTGTGTTTGAAATAAAAAATGTTTACAAAACTGTGACTATGTTGAGTATGTTTCTCACAACAGGTAAATTGTATCTAAAATGAAAACGTGAAACTGTTCAGGGCAGATCTTCTTTGTGATACCCCAACGCTGCTCCGACTGGTCAGATGCATAACTAATAGGTAAATATGAGTGTCAAATAACCGTTATCATTATTCACCGCTGTATCAATGCTGGTAAGATGCATTATAAAATATTTTGATTTAACTGGATCTCCGTCTCTGCCCAGCCTTTATCCTCAGGTTCCAGTGCGTCAGTGGCACATCTCTCCAGTATCTGTTTCCACATTTGAACTTCAGAGCTGATCGTCAAAGCTCAACTGTTTGGTCTCCACCAGGTCAAAGAGCCATGCAGCACTGGGCTTTCTCCTCTGCTTCTCCATGTCTGTTCAATTCCCATTCCGACAAATGGAGGACCTCACAAACATCAGAAAGTTTCAAAAAGAAACTAAAAATCTTCCTTTATAAAATACATTTTAACTTTTGCATTCTCTTTGTGCTATTCTCCAGCGTACCCTCCTGTATGCTGGAGAGTTTTTTTTGTGTTTTTTAGTCTGCAAACTGTTTTTACTTATTAGCATTTAAAGGTTATTTTACAAAGTGCTTTTACATAGAAATGCATTATTATTATTAAAAAAACAGAATCAAGTTTATTGCAATTCAAACATGTCGTTTATATTATCCTCCTCCTCGACTCTATGGTTTGTATGGCTTTTTCCCCCATCTGTCTGCAGGAGAATCTACATTATGTGACACATGACAGATTTATGAAAACTTTTCCTTCTGACACCTGGTCTGATAATACTTTGACACTTAGACTAAGATCCTTACTCAGATCTGGATTAGTTTGATTAATTCATGTTCGTGTTGACTCACATGTATGAAGAGAAGTCCTCTTGGTCACCGATGCTCAACCACAAAGCTCATAGTTTTCCCATCAAACGAGGGTGGAGCGATGATTCTTGGACCCTGCTGTGTTGTGATGCTGATAAGTGCCTTTTTGTCAGAGCTTCCAGGCCCTCCTTTAGTGGACACGTGTCCCAAACTCAGCGGCAGATGAAGCGGCCCCTGCTGAGCCTCTGCCGTCGCGCTGTAGTAAGCCTTCTCTGTACCTGGGCTCATTGGATTACTTTTGATTCTTTCTCCTGCTGCATCCTCTGAGTGACAGGGGGACTGCGGCACCACCGCCTGGGCTGCCAACGTAGGAGAGATGAAGCCTGGGTAGACCACGTAGGTGGGGGCAAGAGCTAGTGGGGGTACCGAAAAAGGTACAGGTGTGACGGACGCGATTGGTGAGTGAGGCACGGGGACATCCACGTACTGGCCTGTCTCTGGATCGAAAAGTCTCTTGGTGGTGGCCAGAATGGGAGTGTCCACCAGGTAATAATGTCCAGTTGTGGGGTCCAGGAGCATCTTGCGCTGGGTTTGAGGGACCATTTCTCCTCCGGAGGGTGTTGGGGACATATTGGTGGACGGGGAGAAGCGTAACACCTGCTGCTGATTTTGAGGACTTGTCGCTGCTGTTGGAAGATGGTAGATAGTTGCAGATGGACAGTCCATGGTTACATGTGACGTGTTTTGCTCTGGCACCTTGCTATCACCCGAATTTGTTTTGCTAGAGCTTAAATCCCCCTTCTGACTGAGCAGCTTGGTTTCATTCGTGCAGCCAATCCCTGGCATGGTTAGGTAGTTCTCAGAGTCCAGGAAACCCTTTGTAGTGGTGGGATCTGTGAAACTGGATTTGGCCTTGTTCTGCTCCACCATTTTTACAGACCCTGGTTTAATCGCCGGCGTTTTGGAGCATCTCACGACAGAGGATGCTTGCAAAGCAGAGCCTTGCTCATTTATGCTGCTGTGTTTCTTATTGGCAAAATGCAGGACGCTTTTGTTGGTGAAGGTTTTACTTTGCTGCGACTGTGTTTTAAAAGTGTCATGGTTGTATGGAACATGGATGATATTCAGAGATCTTCTGTCTCCTTGGCTTTTCTGAACTTCTTTGCCGTCTGTGAGAGACTGAGGTGTCCTGCCACTGTTTTTCACCTCCTGCTCATCTGCAGCTCCCTGACGTTGAACGGTGAGGAGCGGCAGCACGTTGCTGTCTGCGACCGGGTGAGAGGCTTGGGTTTTACGCTTCCATTCATTCCTGTCAAAAACATAAAGCTGCTCCATGGTTTTAACTGCAGCCTTGAGCTTTTCTAGGGCATCCTGTTTTGGCATTGCAGGGTCATTTCTCCTTTCGTTTGTCTCCCCAGTGAACCTATCCTGCCTCTGTTTTTCCAGTTTGGCCTCAAGATTTTGATGCACCTCAGGCTGATCGGGATTTCCTTGTCTTGTCGTAAGAGTGGGAACTCTACAGGAAGTGTCAGGCATGGTGCCTACCTCCACTTGTGCCCGTGTTGTGTCGTCTGTCTCTGGTTTAATGTTTGTTTTAACAGAGTTGCATTTGATCACAATGGGGGATGGTTTTTCTGGATCCACTTTGGTTTTCTCCTCGGCCACCGTGGGACATCTACGCTCACTTCTGTTCAAAGAGACAAAACGATACGAGCTTTTCACTAGCTTACGCACATCCCTGACGTGATATATTGGTGTCTGAAATTTGCACTTTGTGTCCCTGATGTCTCTGACGGTGAAACTCGGAGCCTTGTATCCTGAGGATAAAATATGACACCTGCCATTGTCCGATGCCCTGTATTTGTTGATGCTGTTACTGATTTTGGGTGTTAGGAGATTTGCAATATTCAGAGTGCAGCCTTTGTTTTCCTTCACGTTTCTCAGGCAGATTTTGATCTCAGGTGCTTTCCCCACCCTCTCATGTTTTTCTTTACTTTCTGCATTTTTATCATCCGGCTTTTGCAGGTCTTTCTCGCATATCTTTGCACCTGTGCCGGGTGTGTTGGGGGTTAAATCCTCTGCAAGGTTTCCGTCTTTTGAAAGAAGCTGGCAGTTTGGAACAAACAGAAGCTTCGTCAGAACGCTGCTGGAGTCCAGTCCTTCTCTTGCTGCCTCTGCCTCCTTCCCGGACTGCGGCTCCTGTGGCGTTTCCTGATGCTCTCCTGAAGAATTGTCGGCCTTTCTGTCACCCTTTGTCTCCTCTGCAGGCCCACAGGAGCTGGATCTGGATCTGTGATCTTCAGGCGAGTTTACGGAGTTTCCTAATTCTGAGGTTTGCCCCTGCAAGCCTCTGCTCTCACTCCTCTCCTTCACACCCTCCAGATCTCTAAAGTGAACACAGGGGGAGCCTGAGGGGTAAGTGTCTGAGATTTCTCCCCTCTCCATTTTGCGTTCCTGTTCAAACTGCATTTTTTTGGAGATGACATTTTTCAGCAGACTCGAGGCAAAAATAGCCCTCTTGTGTGTGTCCCCCGAGCTCTCTGTGTGATGATACTGCATCTCACACCCCGATCTGGCCAACATTTCATTGGGTCGATCCGTTTGGAAGTACTTGGGGCCCCGGGGAGTTCTGGATTCAACATTACAGTGAAAATTTAGTGTGACCCCTTGCTGTGCTGACTGTTCCTGCATTTGGAGCGTTCTGCCTGAAGATGTTGTCTGCTGTGAAGTAATTCTCTTGTTCAGGGCGCAGATTCTTGTCTGTTGATCTTTCATGCCAGTTTTGCATCTGTTGTTCCTCCTGCTGTCCTGCACAGTCTTATTCATTTCCAGTGTTGCACTGGAGGCGTTGTGTGTAATATTTCCATAATTCCAGTCCACATAAGCTGACCACTTATTCAGGCCATATTCTGACACGGATGACTCACTGGAAGTGCTGAGATTGATGGCATCAAAGTATGGACATGCCAGGCTTCGGAAAGACTTGGCGGTTAGGTTACGCACCTCTTTATCAGCGTCGTCCAGCTCACTGAAAGAGCTGGACGCTCCGCTGGAATACTCATTAATATCTTTCCGTCTCAGTTTGGTTGCAAGGTGCTGACGGCCCGGAGCCGGGATGAAATATTGACCCCTGTCGCACAGGGGCCCCGCTCTGGCGCCAGGGTTCACAAAGGAGTAATGGCTCCCATCTCCAAGGTGTTTGGCGCGCCACTGCGCGCTATTGTCAAACACGCCTGCGGGGTCGTTCACCGCCCTGGAGGAGGTTTTAATCGACAGGTGGATCTTCCCCGCAGACGGGTCACCGCCGCTCTGGGTTCTGCACAGGCTCTCATCCGAACTGGCGCACAGATCACTCTCCTCCTGCTCGGTGCTGACAGCCGCTCCGCTAAGATTAGACTGAGCCTTCAGCTGGCTCCGGCCGCGCTCCACGATCAGGGTGCCATCGTGGGTGTCGTCGCTCTCGAAAGAGGCGTAATCTACAAAGGCGTAGACCAGGTTGCCGTCCTCAAATTCCCAGCGGGTCCCGCGGCCCAGGTCGTAGTCCACGTCGTGGTCGAGCTCGGTGAGCTGGATCTCGTGCGTGGTGATGTAGTGGGACTCGGACAGCTCGGCGTCGCTCTTGCCGTTCAGACACATGTCGGTGTAGCGCAGCTCGCCGCTGTCGCTGCACTCGCTGGAGTCCAACTCAGCCTGCTTCTCGCTCTCTGAGTCCGGGTCCGCGGTGGGGACTTTGGTCAGGGTTTCCAGCGGGGACTCAGCCGAGGAGGTTTTGCTCTCCTCCTGCTTCGAGCTATCCGCTTTGATCACAGACAGCTGGTTCCCCTCTCCGGTGAAAGTCACTTTCACCGTCTTCAGCCCGTCGGGTCTCACGTCCAGATCCACATAATTGGACTCTTCGCTTTTTGTCTCCGTGTGCTGGTCCTTGCTGTTCTCCTTCTTTTTAACATGTTTAAGCAGCTTGTTGCTGTGAAGTCCGGTGTCATCTCGGTAAGTGAGAGTTTTCTCCGCTGCTTCCATTTAGTCCGGACTTACCGTCAGGTGGTCCTCGTTTACGATGTTACACCGACACTGGACGGAAAACTCTGCAGGCAGGAGCGTGGGGGCAGCCGGGAGGGGGTGTGCGTGCGTGTGTGTGTGTGTGTGTGTGTGTGTGTGTCGGTGAGTGACTTTGAGACAGGATGTAGGGGTGTGTATTGGGGGGAGTCCCACAGAAATTCCCACGACAGTGTCAGGCGTCTTTTTTTATAACTCTAAAACAAACCTCCAAAGTTTTCAGCACCTCTCCTAGAAGAACAGCTCCTCCTCAGAGGGAATAAAAGTAAGAGTTTTCATCTTACCTGAGACATTTTGAGAAGTAGATTACTCTAAGCCTTTATTTTTATTAGATATTTTCTTTTTTCTCCTTTCTTATATTTTAGGGGTTTTGTTTGTTTGCCATTTGCTTTTCTTTTTTTTAATTATTATTATTTTGGCATGAGAAGTAAAAATCGCCCGTTTCTTACTGCAACTTTTGTAAAAGTCCTGGCTGTTTTCAAATAAAGCCAGTAACGTTTTCGGTTTAAAGGAAGCACATTTTCTTAAAACGTTTCCAGCAACAGGAAGTTTTCTGAACATCTGGTCGCTTCCAGGCTGAATCAGCTGGGTTTTTTTGTTTCACCCCACAGACCGTAGCAGCATCTCTGCCGCATGGTGCGAAGTGTGATATCAGACTCGATCAGTCTGATGCATTCTTAGATAGAATCAAGCAGCCTGTTCCACTCAGATGACAGAAACAAAGAAAGAAAGAAAGAAAGAAAGAAAGAAAGAAAGAAAGAAAGAAAGAAAGAAAGAAAGAAAGAAAGAAAGAAAGAAGGAAACATGCCAACAAGAAAGAAAAAAAGACAGGACTGAAAAATTTAGAGAGAAAATAAGAAAAAAAAGCTTTTCTTCATAATAACACTGTATGCTGTTATTGTTTCAGACTTTTATTAAACTCAAATAAAGACTGCTAGTAAATATCACAAATAAACTTAACATAAGATGAGCAAAAAAAATGGTGATGTTTATTCCCAAAATAAAATGTAATTTGATGTAAAGTGAAAAGAAAAAAAATGAAGCACTCAGCTGCTTCGATTTATCTTTATCCACTGCAGCACATATTGGTATTTATAACATAAGACACAGCAACGCCCAGCGGATCAATGTTCACTTGCTGAAACAGCTGCTTACAAAGAATTCTCCTTCAGATTATCTTCGACAGACAGACAGACAGACAGACAGACAGACAGACAGACAGACAGACAGACAGACAGACAGACAGGCAGGCAGATTCCTTCTTATGCAGATGTTATTGTCCCAAACATTTTTAGTAGTGATGCTCTCTCCCTCCTTAACGTGGCTGAATCGGGATGCCCTGCATATCAGGGATCCAGTTGTCAGACGTCTGTCTAGGTTTTGAAGACACAAGTGTTGTTCCTGGACAGGGCCCCAGATTTGTGGTATGCTGTGGGGAGGGGGGCAGGCCAACAGCTGCTGCATGTGGAGGGCACACCGACAGCAGTATCAAGGACAGAGGCCACCGGTATAAAGCTTCTGACACCCTCAAATCCCACATTTAGTCTCATTGTCAGTCACATGGAGGAGGTGTTATGGTGCAGCTATTGGAGGCAGCAGCAGAAACCTTAAAAAAAAAAAAAAGGAAGAACCCCCAGAGCTTTTGAGCAACGCCAAGCACACTGTTTGAAGTTCGCGAGTATTTCATTTACATAGCCGTTCGAGCCTCTGCAGCCTGTCGTGTTATAAAATGTAACCCGTCGCATTCACATGGACAGCTGCAGTTATTTACAGATTAATCTTTTACATAAAAGCAAATCTAAGACATCTGATCAGCTAATAAAACTGTCCTTAACCTTTTTAACATGCGACCCCTCGTAAAATGTTGCTGAGTCAGGTTTAATATAAAAAGACTGTGGGAGTGAGTGTCTGTGACTTCTAATTATAAAATGATTTTGTAATCTCTGAGTGCACGCTAAATTAACCCTTAGATGTTTTATTTTTATATCCTTATAGAAGCAGAGATAGTGGGGAGGGGGGATTTGTGGTCTTAACTCTGTAATGTTTCCGTGAGGTTTTCCCTTGTGCTAGAGGCATCACAACATGTAAAGAGGTTGAAGTGGCTTACACAAAGCTGACAAACTTAGGCTGCTATTTAAAATGGGGCCACAGCTCATGCAAGCAAGTTGAGATCAGATTCTTACTGTGGCCACATTAAAACAGCAGGTGCTAAATCATGACTGCCATTAATCAACATAAGGAACTGAGCGCATGAGGAGCGCCTCGCTCAGCCCTCTCAGCCCCCACTGGCTCTCACAAATCTTCATGCAGAACTAGGAAAATCGACAGTCAGCCTATACGTTGCCCCGACGGAGACAGTTTAACGAGCAAAAGCCGCAGAATTGGCAGTAGGAATCAGGAAGTGTTGCTCAGATGCTCAGATGACATGTTTCCTTTGCAAAATAGCTGAAGCTCAGCCAGTTTGGATGGATTCTTGAACAGAAATTTTGAAGTGGAAATTTTGAAGCCTCTATTTAACTCAGCACATCTCATCAGATGAAGAGCTTCTCCGCCCCTAATGAAAATAAGCAATTCCCTTGCATGATGCAGGAAATTCTTTTTTCTTGGCTTTTGCCTTGTTCATGGTTTAGGACGGGGCGCTAAAGGTGATGCACATTGTTTTCCTGCCTACACACATTGTATCTGACTAGATCACCTGCCTCTACATGCTTTCCACCAACATAAATTAATTGCAGAAATGTAAACAGAATTCCCTTTCTTCTTTCCACCGTATCACAAAACCCACATCTGCGGAGATGGTACCAAATTATGGGCTGCACAGTGACAGGTTCATAACTTTGGATATTGTTTTATAAGCTAACCCTGCTCTGCACGTCTTCACAACTTTTTCCCTGACCTGCGTGGTCTTTGGCCTTTATTAAGCAGTTTTTTTTTCCATAATATTCTCTGACAAAACTTCTACAAAAAAAACAACAACAACAAAAAAAAAAAACAGTTGGATTTATACTGATTTATACTTTTACATTACAAACAAGTGGACTCCAACTACTAATTTGTAGTAGGTTTGTAATAAAAATCACTGAATATTTAGTTCAGTGAAAATCGCCAAATCATGGAGGTTTTAAGATTTTTATTTGTAGAAAATGTTGACATTTTCAGAGTTTTTTTTCTCGCCATGGGCAACTTTGTGTTGCCCATGGCAACACAAAGTTGCATGGGCAACATAAAATGTCACACACTTTTATGGCTGTTATGAGCAAAAAAAAATAGCATGAACACTTGCAAATATAGCTGGAAATATTATAGTATCTAATAAAAAAAATAAAATATAAATAAATAAATAAATAAATAAATAAATAAATAAATAAATATTCTACCCAGTTTAAATAAACAATAATTCAATGGAAAACAGCCAAACTAGTGGAGCAATTGGAGTTTTGTCTCACACTTTAACTATAAGACTTTACAAGACTTTGTATCAAGAATAACTTTTTAAAAAAAAAAAACTATTTTGACAGATTCCTGTACCTAATAGGCTTATTATTTATTTTATTTATGTTTAATTTAATTTTTAAAATAAGAAATAATGTCACCAGTATTATATATACATAAGTAAAATTTTTAGTTAAATGTGTTGAACTGTAATAGTTTAAATGATTATTTTAAAGCTCAAGTAGCTTTAAAATAAAGCTACTTGAGCTTTATTTTATTAGAAAGACGTAATTAAAAGACTTTCTTAAATCAGAGAGGCTTTTAGTCCAAAGAAGTGAAGTAAAAATTGGCAGAATATTTTATTATAAAAGATACTGAAGGAAAATCAGAAGACTGTCATCATATTATGGTGTTAAGAAACTAACAGAAATGTGAGAATTGTTCTTTTTATAAAGTAATTCAATAGTTCTCAACACAAACTGTAGCATCGAACATAGCATGCTAGCATGACATGTAAAAATCTCCTGTACCTTGCATCGGCATCAGTGACTTTCTGGCTCTGGTCACTGAGCCGTCCGGACCACCTAATTGGGTAATAGAGAAGACTGAGTGCTCTAGCACCTGCTGCAAAGTAGTCCAGGTTACGCACATGCATATTATCCTTCAAGGTTTTATAGAGCAAAATGTGAAAGGCTAATTCTAGAACAAGAAGATTTCCTAGATTGTCACCATCCAGTGATGAGAGTTTACGTATGGAAGGTAGTTGTGCAGCTCATTTAGTTCTACGTTCTTTAGGATACATTAGGTTCATCAGTATGGACATGGGTGATCCTAGACAGGGGCCAACAGGGGGCCAGTCCCCCTGAAGAGCTGGTCATGGCCACCTTTGTAGTGTCCTGTGCTTATTGATCAATTGACATAAACAGAAGGACGTTTGAACTCTGCTTGTAGATTAACCTCCACATTTATTGGGACTTATGGTAAAGATGAGAAAAAGACAAGCATTTTTACACAGCAGTATAATCCCACTCTGCAAAATTTGCTGCAGTTTTATAACAGCATTGAACATTATGGGATATGTTTCCTCCTTACTGTGTAGGGCGCCAAGATAAACTCTAGTCCTCCTCTACCCTCATTTATGACAGCTCCAGTTGCCATTTTCTCTCTTATGAAGATCTCGATGTGAATTCTTGTGTATGTGGATGATACTGCAACATTTAATTAACATGTCCCAGGGATAGAATATAAAATTTTAAGACTGTTGAAAAACAAAACCTTTATCTATAAAGTGTAAATCATGAAAGACAAAACACTTCAACAATAATCTGAACTTCAGAAAAATTATATATAAGAAGAAGAACACGCCTAATGGGACATTGGATATCTTTATTTTTCTGTGAATTATCCATTTTAAGAACAATGCACAGATGCTGAACATTTTGCAGATTTTTTTGGGTGCAATACACATCCATTTTTTTATGTATTCTTTACTTCATTTAGCTGTGTGACAAGTCAGTAAAGCCAAAACAATAAGAAACAAAGACAGAAAAGTGTCTATTTAAATTTTCATTCAAACTTAAATGATTTTTGATCAAATATTATTGAATTATATGCAGTGGTACGCAATACTAAGTCATACCTTTTAACAATAATGGTAAAGAGAACTCAAAATACCCAGTCATGGAGAATAGGTGACTTCAAGATGACACTCTTCCCTAACTTAACCTTCCCTAATCTAACTCCAGTAACTTCTCTAGCTTTGGTAATGTCTTTAACACCTTTACCATCTGCATTGCTGTGTGGTGAAAAATAAACTCATTCAAACTTGCTTGTCTCTGTTCCAGTCTGTTTAAATATTCTCATTTTTGCATTGGCCATATATTTAGGTGAGTGTAAAGAAGCTACTTGTTGTCATATCCTGGCATCAGAATATCAGCCCACCTCTGCTTACGGGATTAGAAATAGATTTACTTATATCTTTCCTATTTTGAAGAGTGTTTAAGATAGATAATTTCATTATGGATTACTAACTAAAATTAATCAATAAAGTACAAAAATCACATGTCTGCATTTAACAAAAAAATAATATCTACAATACTAAGGCTGTTTTACAAAAGATAAAACCAGAACAGTGATTTTTTTTTCTAAGACAAGTTGCTTCTTCTCATATCTCTATTGAAAGCTTCCCTCTAGCGGTTTGCTCATGTACCTGCACTCATAGCTCCACTGCAGCGCTTGACTTTTTCTGTCTTTTGAAACAATGCAAGGACCAAAACTGACGCAATTAAAAATAAAATTCATTTTCTTTGTACGGTATTGTTGTATAACATCATATGATGTTTATCTACTTAAAATGGATAAGTAGAGTTTTAGTTTCATTTTTAATGTTAAACTTCACTCAGTCTGGACAGTAACTCGGAGATTTTCATGATTTGATCCTCTTTGCAGCTCACATTTACATGCAAGATGATTTTTAAAAATAAACTTTTCAAAATGACATGTCAAAGGTTTGTTTGGATTGGAATTTTATCTTCACTGCCAGCTCAGAAATTTGTGGAGTAAAGGTAAAATTATAGAAACCATAAATAAAAATGATGAACATGATACTACTGATTCATGGTTAAATTAAATTCTGACTCAGAAATACGACATAAGATACACGTCTTAAATAAATAAACGAATCAAATTAGGTTTAACTACTGGAATAGTCAAATTTATAACATATTATAATGCATGGTACTGAAACCCTACAAATATTCTTAACTTTTTTTTTTTTTTAGAAATACGTTCTTGCAGCTTAAATTATATTATTAGTGTGTTTCTTTAATTTTTATAAATGATCTTATTAGCAGTTTTCCCTGAAACCAAACATAATTACTCATCATGCATTGATTGTTATTTTCGCCAAAGCTCAGCAGCCTTCCTGCTCGCAGCTGCAGCCGTAACAGTCTGTGTCAGGGCTTTTCTCTGTGCCGCTGCTGCATACTGATGTCGCGCATCAGCGGCTAAACCTGACCGCCGTCTCTTCAGTCTTTTATTCCCAGCTTGAAGGAGCAAAATGGCACATGCTGCGCGTTGGTCGGTGGTTGTTTTTGTGTTGTTGTGCTTTTTAGGAGCAGCGGAATCCAGAAGGATCGTTAAATGCCCTTCAGGATGCACCTGCTCCAAGGAGACTCTCATTTGCGTCGGGGCTTCTCAGATCCCCCGGACCATCCCGACGGAGATCAACTCACTGTAAGTAAACAACCGGGGGAAAGTAGTTTCAGTCAAAACGAAATAGCCCGAGACGGTAATAAGATAAATGGTGCTTAATGTCGGAAATAAATATGTCTTGGCTCTGGTTTAGTTTGTGTTTGGTGTTAAGATGTCCTCTCTGTACTTCACCATAGAAGCGTAGTTAATGGATCCGTTGCGGAAATCACAGAGGGGATGTTTGCTCTCATGCCTTCCCTTCAGTTGCTGTAAGTGCCATGAAACGCAGAGGATTGGTGATTATATTTAACTTAGTAGCTTTGCTGGGTTTAGTTGTCCCACTAATGACTGGGGTATGCACAAAAAAATGCAAACTTTCAAAGACAGGAGGTTTCCGCTTTATTTGTGCATCTCTTGCAGGCTTCTCAACTCTAATTCTTTGACCGCAATCAAAGATGACGCCTTCTCTGGTCTGTCTCATCTAGAGTATTTGTGAGTATTTCAGACATTCATTTCACTGCATGTTTCCATTTTTCACTTAGTTTATCAGTAACATTGGTTTTTCAAAATCTGACACAATAAAACACATGTGAATTAATTTTCTTAGCAGTTAACAAGTTAGTTTAAAATGGCTAAAATAAATGGTATATATGGGTTTTAACATTATAATGTGTACATTACTAATCATCCCTGCTTACTCCCGAATAAAATCAAGTGCATAAGTCACCTAACTAATAAGCAGTCAAGCCATGTGTGGTAATCTCAGAATTAATATGATTGTTTTCTTCAGAGATTTGCTAGAGAACATTAGCAAAGAAGGATAGGCGTTGGGTTACAAAACAGTACCCCAAGCTTCAAATATGTCATTTGAAAATCGAAAGAGTATGTTTTGCTTTGTACAGAAAGTCACTGTTGAGAATGCTTCCTGGAGGTGTGGACTGTGTTGAGGCTTTAAATATTATCTGATTGCCAACGTTTGTCCGTGACATATAACGCGCCAGTTTGAGGCTATGAATCTTACCGGAAATTGCCTGCGCTCTAAACAAACATCCTTCACCGCAAAGAGAGAAATGCCAATCTAAACAAATTGGCTGTTAATGTTAATTCACAACTTTCTAGAGATCACTGAAATCTGTAGAAATATTCAAAGGGTATTTTTCAAGCAACATTTTATTTCTAGACAAGCAAAGGTGGAAGAGACGTACCCCCAAAGACTCACACCTGTTGTTGAGGTGAAAGGGTGTTATACCAAATATTAATTTATAGGGGTTGTATAATAAGGAATGTCAGAATTTTGATAAAGTATTTATATCATTTTTCACTTCTCATCTATGCACTATTTTGTGTTGGTTGAGCTGGCTGAGCATAAAAATTCAAGTAAAATGCGTTGAAGATTGTTGTATGACAAAAACAGCTCAAGAGGTATGCATTATGTGCTTTAATTATTAAATCATATCCCTTGAATTACCACCTATATCTCACCTGGTCTTTTGTGACTAAATCACAGATTCATTGAACGAAACAAGATCGACACAATCACCAAAAATGCCTTCAGAGGTCTACGAACCCTCACCCATCTGTAAGCCCTGTGCACCTGTCTCTGAAAATCGCAGAAGATACTGAAAAGGCAAAAAAGGCACTTATTGTCCCTCTGTGTGTTTGGTGCAGCTCCCTGGCAAATAACAAGATACGGTTTCTGCCAAGAGATCTGTTCTTCGACTTGGATTCGTTGCTAGAGCTGTGAGTAAGCAGTTGTGGTATCAGCAGTGTGTGTATATGTCTGTGTGTGTTTGTGTAAGGGGCAGAGAGAGAGAAAGCAGTCATCTACTTTTTCCATAATGTGTTTCAAAGTGAAGCTGATCATGCTGTTCTTCCTTAAGTCCCTCAAGACTGAAGCAGCACGAAGTCTCGAGTCATCGCTTATTTTTTAATATCCAAGAAGCAAGATTTTTTATTTTTTATTTTTTGCAAACTTTTGCAGTGGTGTTTTTTGGATGGGCTTTCTGAGGGTCTTTGAATGATTCTCAAATAGTGATTCCCTAGAAACTGAATGATGAGTAATGTATCTGTCAAGTTCACTGTCAAGTCTTTGCTAATGTTTTTTTCTGTCCTATGGCACAATGACATTATGATACCGGTTATCTGCTGATGGTAATTTAGTTTTTATTGTTTTGCTATTGGACCTGTAATATTGCAAAAATGTCTGAGTCATTGAGGTGCAAAGATGGTAAAACACACAGGTACACATCTATTACTCATACATGTATTTTATCTATAAGTCTCTGAGCATCAGGGTCACATCGGCCATAGATCCTCACTGTTCCCTGTTTCCACCAGGGATCTGCGAGGCAACTCCTTCCAGTGCACTTGTGAGAACAAATGGCTGATGATGTGGCTGAAAAACACAAACGCCTCCGTATCAGATGTCTTTTGCGCAGGCCCCAGTGACATGAAGGGCAAGCGGCTCAATGACCTCCCTATTCCACCGGGCGAGTGCATTTCTACAGGTAAAGTAATGGCACTTTTCAGAGAAAGACAGCAGCAAAAGGGAAGCACTCAGGTTAAGAACAAAAAAAATCAATAATAAAAAAAATCTATTAAGTGGTTTAATTATTCAACAGGACATGACAGAATATGGATGAACACATAAAAACAAGAAACTCAAGGTCAGCGCACATTTCCTTCAAACAGCCTCAGACAAAATAAGATTTAAGGTGGATACCATGATGTTGAGCTGCCCAGCGTCTGCCACAGCAAAACATCTCCAAATCTTGACACCTTCACCTTCATGCTTCACAGATAGTACATGAGTCTTTTCCCTGGAATGCTCTTGTTTTATGCTCCCAGCTATGGTGTCCAAA